CAGGAGCTGAGAATACTCGACACTATCAGACAATGAAACTTTTTTTGAAAGTTCATTTTTTTATTCATTTCATTAGAGAAACAAAATCATGGCACAACAAAATAAATGACGTACATGTACGTATGACCACAAAACTGATATATAAAACCGGCAGACAATAAACAGTAGAAATAATAAGAAATTAATGAGCACAATAACAGACAATGAAACTTAAAAACCATTTTTCTAAGCTGCTCTTCCTGCTCTTAGCTCTTAAATGGAAAGTCTTTGGAGGCATGGTCCTCCTTCAATATTAGACTGAATCCAACAGACTATTCCCCAGGATACAGAAATATTTGTGACTGTCTGGGACTGACCTTCTTGGCCCTGTCGCAGTCTTCTCTCAGTCTGTCGTTCTCAAACTTCAGTTCCTCCACATCCTCCTGGCTGGCTGCATCTCTCTCCTCCTGCTTCCCTCGGTCTCTCCATCTCGCCAGCTCTTTCTGCAGACTGCAGCAGGAAAGACATGTTGTTCAAGTTTCAAAGGTGAAGAAAGGGCCAGTTAAGGTGGACTTCTGCCAGAGAACATTGGAGTGTTCATTTGACTACACTGCTATAGTGAGGTCATCTTTTAAATGTAGCTATGGTAGCTGGAATGATCTTAAATTTCAGGGGTGAAATATAGATGGGACTAGGACCTTTTATTGCCTCTTAAAGATAACCCCTTGTATTGTAAGCCTTCTCGGTGTGAACTACATGTATGATGTGAACTAAAATCACCAAGCCTGGCAACAGGAGCTGTCTGATGAACTCTGCACCCACCTGGCAACTATGGAAACCAGCTCCTGTTCCTTCTGCTCCAGGCTGTCCACTGCGGCATCCTGGGAAGGGATAGGAGATGCCAGCTCAGTAATGCCATTCCAAAGTATTTCTTTCTCCATGCAGGTGCTTCAGATAGTGTTTACAGACAAATACTTATCTTAGATATCTTATATCTGATGGATATCCAGTTCTCAAGTTTGTGCAGTCTACAGTGAATAATATGGAGTTCCCTCCTACCTTTTGTTTGTTATCCTTCCTGGTCAGGCTGAGTTTGTCCTCTAGGTCGACGACCCTTTCTCTCAGCTGGGACACCTCTTCCTTACTGGTCTGGAGGTGGGAGGGGGGTTAAGGATGGAACAAATGACACATGTACAAACTGTAACTCTACCTAAGATCTGTTTTCAAATTTCAAGTGCACTATCAGAGTCATAGTAGCTACATGTAAAGGAAGCTATGTTGCTTTGATTTTTTAAATATATTCCAGCATGTTATCACAAGACGTGGTGACGACACACTCAAGTTTTTTCAACTTACATTAATGCCGCCACCAACACGAGACAATACAATACTCATTTTCACCTGAGCGAAGTGAGGAAAGTTGTGTTAAGCGCCTTTCCCAAGGGCACAAGATTGGTGGAATGTCAGCACTCAAACCCGGGACCTCTTGGTTCCGAGTTGAGCACTCTGGCATTACGCTACATGACCCCATTCAAATGCTATGATTGTCACCAATCAGTTTTGTACACAGCTTGTACCCATCAATGTTACGAACAGAACAGTTGTTGTGGTGATTTACCAGTTTACAAACACCAGAGAACAAAAGGATATCTGGTCAGCTCTCTTCTTTGCTTCCTCCTGAGTGGGAAGGTCTCCCAGATATCTCTCCAGACTCTCCACACGTTTCTTATACTTGTCATACTTCTCCATCGCATGTTTCATCTTCTTCTTCAGGTCCCCGACCATCTTATCTCTGTCCTTCAGCTGAGGGGAAGAGAGGATCACACAAGGTTTAAATATCAACGCTTCTAATATACCCTAGACACTTTACTGTTACAAAATGTGATACTTTGGAAAATACAGAAAATATGTAGTGGTGTAATTTTACACAGTCGCAGACGCAGTAGCTACATGTATTCTAATATTACTCTAGGACAAAAGTGCTACCTTGTTCTGTATAGAATGTACATAGTTGTGTGATAATTCTCTGTGATGACAGTCACTCTATCATATTACATCTCCCCGCCTTCTTCTCAATCTGTACAATTCCCCCCCACCTTGTTCTGTAGCCGTGTGACTGTCCTCTTTCATGATGGTTAGTCTACCATACATTTTAATAAACACCCCCCCCCGTACCTTGTTCTGTAGCCGTGTGACCTCGTGTCTCTCCTCCTGTGATGACTGTTTGACGGCCTCCTGTAGCTGCTGCATCTCATACTCAGTCTCCCTGGGGAACACACATGTGGGATGAACTTATTACATGTGGGTTAAGCTTCATTTAACCATGTAGGCATCCATCCATCTCGAGAGATGATGGTAGCACTCTGAGTCTGGTGTTGTGGCCTTGTGCAGCGTTTAGTAGCCAGACAAATGATAGCAAGATACAGGCTGCAAGACTGAAATCCTAACATTCCACAAACATACCGTTGCAATAAATCAATAAACATATATCCTCACACATAGTATTGGTATGACAAAAGCACGGTGACAACTGTATACACCAATACCCCAGAATGGTGGCAAATCTCTAGTTAACCACTGGTAGTCCTTTCCTCCGCCAAAAACTTACAAAACTTTTGGTAACAAATAAACAGATTCTGGGAGTTGAATCCAGTTAGAACACTTACCCAAGTTTCTTATTGAGCGCCTCGATCTCAGCGTCCTTGGCAGCCGTAGCTTCAGCCAGCTGTGCCTTTAAGGAGGCATTCTCGTACTCGTACTCCTGAAGGAGCAAAACGGACAACCTTAAGAATCTGTACCTGTACTGGATAGCTGATACAACAATCCGACATTCTTACATCAGTGGAAATCTTAAAATTTATGTCCTTTAACAGTTATTCACTTTAATAAGCATTGTTGGCTCTTGTCATTTGTAAGTCTAACTGTTCAATAGCTGTTGAATTTGAAGTCTGAAGGAACAAAATGGACAACCTTAAGAATCTGTACCTGTACTGGACAACTGATACATTGTACAACAACCACTTATCCTTATATCAGTGGAAATGTTAGATATTAGTTTCCTTTCAACAATAACCATTATTCACATTTATATGCATGGTTGGCTCTAATTTTAAGTTCTCTGTTTAATACCCCAGAAAATGAATGAAATGTCTAGACCCTGGACATAAATTTCACATGCATAACCACCTCACCATTCTAATGGCACAGGGCTGCAGAAATATGTGACCTACACTTTGAGACTTTTAGATTAAAACCTCTTAGGTTAACAACTATATGTAGGCCAGCAAACATGGCAGCTAATTAATTAGAGAGGTCGTCACCAGTCACCTGGCTACAGAACCATTCACTTCACCATTAAGATACCAGTAAAACATTGTACAAGTGGTAGTCAAGAAGTTCTCTTGGTTATCATCAACAGTATATGTTGCTATAGTAATCTCCTCTCTAATGGCGTTTGATTCTCTCTAAGTCTGTTTGTTCTTCAGAACCATAAGTAGGTGAAGGCCTTCTGATGTGCTGAAATGTGCATTTTTACTTTTAACTAAGCACACAATTGTGATACAAATACACATAGTTTGGCAGCACAATTTTGCTGACAACTTGTTATCATCTCTCACTCATTGTTTTGGGGAGGGGGGGATGCAAGTGCACTCACTAAACTTAGGGGGGTATGCTTCCCCTGGAAGTTTTGGAAATTTCAATCTTCTGAAGTGCCACCTGACACTTTTTCATGTCAAACTTTCATTGAGTAAATTTTTGTTGTTAAACAAACACCTTCATCCCAAAACACTGGGACCCAGTCTCACAGCGGGGGGCTGTACCATACTAACAGGATTAAAACACACCATTAGAGAAACAAATTGGGCCCGACAATGATAACAAGATTTCAACGCTCATCCTGAGTTACAATTCACGGATGGTTTCACTTTTCAACCCTTAAGCCTCTTCCAAAACAATTACATTTTGTCAAACCTCTACTAGATTAGCGGTAAACCCTGTCACAATGAGGAGGTCAGAGGGCAGCGTCTCTGAAATACCAACTGATTCTAAAGTCTTTACAGAAAATACCAACAAGTAACAACACTGACATATCCTGAACAGTCAGACAATTCTAAGTGAATTACAGACAGACCTTTTGGACAAATGATGACACAATGTGCATGCCAACCATTCAGATATGACTTACATTGTACAGTACCCCTTTGTTGAAAATACAAATCCTGGATGAATTTCATCTGTATCTGTATCGGTATAGCCGTTATAACCACCTTTCGATGTAATACACCAGCTTCGCAGGTACCCAGTGCAGTGGTAGCTAGCTATATACTATTATTACACCAAACGACCTGTTACACCCAATCTTTTCAGGAGTTGTTTAAAGCTTTCTAGTGATGATGCCCCAACTGTACTTGGTGGCAACGAGTTCCACTCTCCATACTGGAACAAAAAGGTGGTGGTAGTTGACATGGAAGCCAAACACAAAGTCACCTCCGCAACATACAAAATTAACAGCCGTGAGTGGCACTGCTGTAAATAACCCTGGATTCATGGAGCGCTCAAGTGTTTGGCATTGGGCTGAATACCCGGTCTTACAAACACAGTTGAGCTGAATGGCTGGTCTTACAAACACAAAATGTGTTGCCAAGCAAACAACTTGAAATGATTGCAGACCTCAACACAGAAAATGGACAAACTAGACATGTCCTGTTGTTTTAAGTTAAAACTTGTGATCCAACACAAAAAGTTCTTTTTGTGTTGGATCAAAAGTTTTAACTTTAAACAATATAACTACCAACACAGATGAACTTTCACGATAGTACATATTATACAGTACTCCAGCAAGGTGTAGCATGTTTGACAAAATGTAGGTTCAGGCATCAAAGACACATTTCGATATGTGAGGATTTGTTATAAGCAGATGTTTCTGTGACAAAGTCATAACCAATTGTCAAGATACCACTCATATCCAATAGGTCACAGGTAGTGATTGAGCTGGCTGTCAGAAACTGGTACAGAGAAGGTCCAAATCAACCACTGCTTGCTATTGGAGAGTAGATCTGTTCCAGTGTTTAGGGGGAAAACAAGAGGAAACATGCAATTTGCACCTCAATAGCCACCTGAGTCATGGTTGTTTTGTCCTTTTCATAGAAGATTCAGAATGATGACAGTATCAGGGCAAGTCAACAAAGACGTGACATGGAGTAACAGTGAAGTTACAATGTTAGTCTTAGGGCTTCAATAGCTTCTGACGATGATTTTGTCCTTTTGCATGGACATCAACATCAGGTAAAATCAACATCCCCACAATTACCCAGTATCACACCTGTACCTAAGGGCCATATCCATGATAACTCATAGACAATACAACTGGCACCTGTGACAGACACTACTTTTCTAATTATAAAATCTCTCTTTTAGCTGTAAATCTTTGTAATTATGTGAATTTGAACAGGTAATACAGGGTAGTAAAATGTAAATGATGGTGTCAAATCTTTCCCTTTGAAAAGGTTTGGCAAAGTTTGACAACACAGCATTCTTTCTGGACTTACTAGACAAGTATGATTTAAATCTCAATATAAAGACTATAGAATTTAAATGAGTGTCTGAAACATATTCACTCAATCAAACAGCCAATAAAAATAAATCCTGATCCTTGAGCAAGATAGCATTCAGTTGTAAATTCCAACACTTATAAAAAACATTATTGTAAAGATGCCTGATGTAACACCTTACAATTGCGTTCTCTACATGGGAAATTACTCGTAACGACCCACAAGTACCTGTCATGATAATCATTTCTACCCAGCTGGGACTTACCTGCACAGGTGTAAATCTGCTGAACAGGTAAATTTGTACAGGTGTGTGAACAGGTACTGATAATGAATAATAAGGCACTAGATACTGCAATAAGGAAATACCACTGTCACTGTAAGGACAGCGTGGTGTAAATTCAATAGTCTATAAACTATTTCCTTGCTGTGGGTTCCTTATTACATGTATTACACCTACATTTGTAAGTGTGTATTCGATGGCAACAAAAATCAGCAGGAACAGGGGCTAGGGATAAATTGTGTACCTAAAATTTTTTTCAGTTTTGCGCTTTCATTTTGTTGATGAAAACTAGATGATAGTTTGAGACACCTACTTCCGTTGGCTATTACATTTCAACTTTATGGCTGGGTTTTAACTTTTTCATTTCAATCTTAATCCAGAAGCACCAATTTTCCTACTTCCTTTTCTTAAAGAACATTATTTTCATGTCATGAAGACTGGTGCAGTTGTTCTTACACTGAGGGCTGCATTCAACCCCTGGCTTAACTCTTGTAAGTCTTTAAGTCTCATGGATTATCATGATACAAACATCGCGCCATTCCTACAAACAGCTTCTGTCTCTTCTGACTACCGTAATTGAGTTTTGCTGTAAGCAAACTTGGATATCAACGTCGGCGGCCAAGTTTGTACAAACAAGGCACAAACTCAGCGGCAAAACTCTATTAGGCTGCGGCAACAAGATTTCTTGTTTCTCAAACTTTTTCCAAATTGAATAATAAACCGGGAGGCTTGGTGTCAAGATTGCAGATGCCGTGGCACATAGATTTAACCGCCATTAACAACTGTCCAGCATAACTTGCAGTTTTCACTGTTTTATCATTTTATTCTACTAGAATTTGTCTTGTTTTTAAAAATGCTGTACTTTTGTTGGCACTGGTGAAATTTAACTCAACTTTTCACAAGGATCAAAGTTCATAGTTTGTTATGAAAGGTATAAATTTGCCATGGTGTTTTTTCTACACAAATTTTCCAGTTGACAGTATTTTGTAACCTAATCTTTATCTTTGTTTATAAAACAAGCTCTTTGCTGGAACAAAACAGTAACTTATTTAGGTTTTGTGTGCGGTTTTCAAACTCTAACGGATCTGGCCTCTAGAATGTTAAGATTTCCTTCCTTACAAATTCTACGAAACCTTTTATTGTCACTGACAAAAAATAAAGCCGTTGAACATACACAATGTACATTAATCTTGTAGTTTCTAGTGTTAGAATAAGCATATACAGTAAGAAAGACAGAGGTTAGCTCATCTGATCTTTCTCCATTCGACTAAATTGAAATATGGCTGGTATACTACACACTGGCATATGATAAATATAGTACTATAATCTATAGGAAATAAATCACTTCAATGTCTGAACATAAAAATTACCAAATATTTGTAGAAAGGCAACAGAGGGAATTGTCCCAATACCTCTGTAGTCCCCTCCATAAAACAGTGATTCCCCATTATACATTAACTTTATAACTTCTATTGCTAGAATAAGCATAAAAAGAAAGACAGAAGTGAGTTGTCTCAAGTTGACTGCACTTGGAATATGGCTAATACAGGGCTGGTAGGGAATTGTCCAAAGCCCACAGTCCACTCCATAAAACAGTGATTCCCTGTTAATCCCATCATTTCCTACAATGGTAAACAAGGTGTGGGGATCTGAAAGACCAGTAAGCTGCCCGCATGCTCCACCCTCACACTGAGTGTATTTGTTCAGACATCTCCCTGGCTTCCAGATAAATTTGATTTACTCATGACAACAATACACATCAGCAACCATGTAGGTAGAGCCAAAACTACAACAGAGAAAGGTTGGTCTCACAGTGTCTTCATTCAAATGAGATTGCAAAACCAGTTCATGCATGCCACTGGTAAGAGTTTAATTTAAGTATTAAGAGTGAGTCACCAATGGATTTTTTGATCTTGCACATACACGTACAGTTACAGGTTTTCATACACCTAAAACTAATTTTTTTCCCGAAAATTGCAGGTGACAACACAAGTAATTTATGCTCTGCTTTACTTAGCCTTAAGACAAATTTGATTCCTACAAGAAGAAATCATCTCACGGTCTCACCTGTAAGAAGGCAGTACAAAGTCACCTGTAAGTAGAAGACAGTATGAACTCTCCTGTATAAAAAAGACAGTACTAACTCACCTGTAGTTTGAGGTTGAAGGCGTCCTCTTCTCCCGGTGTCCGTCGCAGCGTTGTGCGCAGACGAATGTCTTGTTCCCGGGACTGGCGCTGGAACTGAGCCAGCTGCTGCTTCTGCCTGAAATATTCAAAGTCATTCTGGATCAGCAGATCGTTCATTCTGAACGTGTGCTTCAGAACTTCCACACTCAACAGAGACATCGTCACTCTCTCTTCTCTCAAGTTCCTTCTGAAAATAACAGTCCTCCAATCTCTCCCTCTCTTTCCTCCTCCTTCTCAGTAATTTCCACTGTCCGCAAGAAGGTTTGCCATAAAGTTTCTCCTTCCGAGACTTGTGGTTGTCATATTTGTGAAGACAAATGTTCCCACTTTCCTTCCATCCAGTTTTGACTTTCTATATGCAAAGGCTTGTTTCTCTGTGGCACTTGGTTGTCATTTCTGTCAATAACAGGGTCTTGAGGAGCAGTCTAAGTCCTCTTCATGACTGATCAGTGAGCAGCAGAGAAAGTGCGTCCCCTGCTGCTATCCTACTCACTGTCTGAACCTGGAGTGACGTGCCTCCAGTCTACCCAGATCGGGTTTCAAATCTCTCCCCTTGTCCCAGTGTCGGGTGTCGCTTGCAAAAGCGGTACTGGTGTTTGCCTTACCGTGCGACAACAAAAACGATACAATGCACCCCTCATGTCAACTGCCGGCTCGGACGGTCCGCGCGCACACACACACCTCCGGGGCCTATCACGGAAACTCTTCCATTGGTCACGGGCAAACGCGGGTTTAAAGGCCACTTGAGTGGAGCTATGCAAGTCAACAGCGTGCTACAACACCGAAGAATCTGCAGAGATAAGATAGGGGCCCACACCCTCCGTTTATTTACTGATGGGCGATTTATGAGCTGATAGCTGTCGCGCTAAACAAAGGAGATGCCAGGGTTTGATAGCTGCACATAATTAACCGAAAAATCGCTATTGAATATTAACGAGGCCGGATTGGGGCATGAGGTATTCCAGGTGGACCACTTAAGAAGAAGTCAAGACATGGTGGTGAAGGTAAGAGCTTTTTTTCTTACATTCTACTTCATATATTGCTTTGTATGAAGTGGTAGACAAAGGTCTGTATGACCATGTGGGGCATATCTGTACAGGAAAGGTAAAATAATGAAGAAAAAGAAAGTATGGATTTAACTTTCTGAGGGAACCACTTCTTTGCTTAAAAGGAGAAGGATTTCATTCAAAATTTGTTCATAATCAAGTCAAGTTACGTCAGGTCCAATTTTTCCCCATTACATAACCAAATATTATCATAGGAAACTATTACAGAAACCCAAGCCTGTGCAATTTTTGTTATGTAAATTTCGGAAGTGTAACGCAATCCTATAGCAAAACGTTTGGTACACCCTTGTCTAAACATCTCTCTTTCAACCGAACACGCTGACCACAACATTTCCCCACCGGCCTCCTTGGCTAACCAACTCTCCAGAAAATTCGAAAATCCCGTTGAAGAATTTGACCCGCACAACTCGTAAGCCACCTGTTACAAACAGCTCTTGTGCTCTGTTGAACTTTTCTTGCTTGGCGTGTTTTCTGAAGGATTACCCGAGCTGATACTGCTGGCTTGTAATAGTTTAGTTATTGATAGCTTAGCTGGGGTCTGGGATACACTTTAGCGCTTCTGGACCGCAGCATTTTCAAACAAAACCCTGCGGTAAAGGTTAGCTCCCTCGGGATGGCACGCACAAAAACCCTCCCACCCCCTACCTGGGAAATTAATAGAGGTACCTCAATGGGTGATTTGATTATACACCTGTGCAGCTCTGAAAGGGGATCAAAATATCCCCAAGGAGACAAACGACACAATTTCCTCCTGATCAAATATCTACACAGCCAAAATTCCACCTAAATTGTCTTCTTATCAAGCATACCTCTAACACAGCTACAATTTATTGTTGTAATTAGTGTAATCAGGTGTTTAATGCCCATAATCAACAAAAACCTTCACTCTACACTGCTACCAAGCCAAACACACACCGCTTCCCCCAGACACAATTCATTAGTTGACATATCTTCACCGGAAGAGCTTTTCCCTGATGAAATATAAATTCATTTACTGGGAGTGTTTGAGGACAATCTTGGGAAGGGAAGGCCCATTGTGTGGCAGAATTGGAGCAAACAATATGCCCTGACAGACTGAGCCATTGTGTACAGTTTCCTCTCGTGTTAGTGTCCTTGTCCCTTCATTCACCATACTGATAGCTTTTGTGTGGGTGGAGCACTGGGGAAAAATTGATTAAAACTGACAATAGCGTTTTTGAAAATAGCGAGGCTTTCGACTGCCCATGGAGTTTGTTTGGAAATGTATCAGATTATTATCTCAGATAAACAACAGAGACGATGTCAATTTTTTTCTTAGGATAGAAAAACCTACATGTACATACTGTAACATGGTGGCCAGGAAATGTTTTGAAAACAAATTTCCAAACTTTCAGTTGAAGGAACGAGTATTTTTTTTTCATCAGGAACTAGACCTGTGTCCCAGTGCTCCTAGTATACAATCTTAAAGTTCAAGTCCCAATACCTGAACAAGTTTGGCAATCATCTACACATTTTAAAGTTATATACTTGTAGCCAACTGTCTTCACCCTGTAAAAAATGGTTTATTTGGTTCAGGCACAAGTACAAAACACCGGATGTTTAGGTCCAGATCTGTACCTCAATAATTCTACAGGTACAGGTATGAGGTACACAGTCCTATCAGAAGGAGACCATTAGCTACCATCATTCCTAAATACCAAGGCTCTAGCATCATGTTTGAGTTACTTATAGAATATCAAACCCTTCTTGACCCCCACCCCAGAATCTGATATTTCACCACAACTCTGGTCACGCTCAGAGCTGTCCCGGCCTGTGAACATGAACATGATGATTATAAATGCCGGTGTTTGGACGGTGTACTGTTGCTGTGGACGCTGGGTAAACGCACTTAGCGGGACGGGCGCGGCGACAGGTCTGTAAACTGGGGAGGGCGGGGTGAAATAATGGGCGCCATGGCAACCAGGTGACTTAGAACAAATTCTCAAGAAACCAGCACAATGTGGAAACTACACAGTCATGTAGGTACAATGCTTGCAAAAGGATCAAGAAGTTCAACACAAAACATACAGACCACTTCAAAAGTTGGAAATCATTTTCTGAATGTTAAGTTCTTAGATTTCAACTTGATTGACTACTGATGCTAAATACATATGCCTGAAAGTGTCACAGGTACACATTGTGAAAAGTGTCACATTGTTGGAAAAAAAAACATGTTTGCCTCTGTATCAGTGTCTCTAGGCAGCTTTCTACTTTATTTTGAGTTACTTAGCCAGCATGGAGAAGGTTTATCTGCTTTTGCCTGCCATATGATCCACATGATAACTTTTATAAAATATATTGTGGTTATATATTGAATTCATATTTCACTTCATATCACAGGCAATGATGTTAGGAGATTCAAACTTTCTGTAACTAAAGGTGACAATTTGATATTGATGAAAAGTTGCAACTAAAATAATGAAACGTAATTTTCGAAAATGCTGGGAATTTTTGCTGCGCAGTCGCAATCTGTAGTTACGAACACAGGGAAATAGAATGCTTGGGACAATTCACAGAGTCCAAAACACACACAAGGGTCTTTCAACCAAAGGTTGCATTCTTCCCTGTGTTTTCTGTTATTGTACAAAAGCCATGGTGAAATCTGTGATATCATCAGTACATTCCAACTCTCATGTACAAGACTATAATGTAGCTATGCTGTTGTGAATGTACGATAACTGTTTAAACAAGTCACACCCTCTTCTCTCCACAAAGTACTCTCTAGTATGATTCAGCAATCCAAATTACAATTCTGTGTGAAGTTTCAGATATTTGCCAAGGAGATACACACTGGTAAAAAAACTTCCTGGCACTTTGAAATGAGTTGCCACGCAGTGGACATTATTACTAATATTAGCTTTTGGTGGAGGAGCGGAAACAAAAAACAAACCCGACCACCCAAGGAAAATAACTACCGGTACTTATTGTTATCAGTACTTTCACCAAGGAGGCTGAAGTACATGTATGTTTTCACCAGCATTGGTTTATTTGTGGTTTGGTTTCTTGCTTGGTTTGCCTGCATTCGAGTACAGGATAACTTCAGTACTTAGAAAAAAATTAAAGGACTTCTAGTGATCTACATTTTCTGAAATTTTTATAAATTGTGTATGATATGTATCAGTTGAAATGTGCAGTGGTAATTTATAAAATGGACTATTAAAGCTTGAATTCTAAACCCCAGCATATTAATCTCTACATCAATGATAAGTTTGAAAAGTGGGTTGTAATATCATGCTCGAAATTTAGATTAAACGCAAGGGTCCAACAATTCATTTGTAAACTTCCGTCCAATATATGATAACAATGCGCCTTTCTCTATCTGCATGGCCTCTTTTTTCCGGTCATTTCCACTCTCCAAACTCAGACACGAAATTTTCTATTATTCCGGTCACACAAAACAAACCCGCCCAGACGGCCTTATCCCAGCACACAGCTACCATAACTCAGCCGATTGCAGAAACAAAAGAATAACACAAGAGCCGTAAACTTCTGTCAATCGTTTGAAAGGTGGTTCACGATCTGACACTGGTGTACCGACCGGGGGGGCCGAACGCGGACCATTGTTTGGTCACGTTCGGAGCCCCAAAGCTATTAAACACCACTTCAAACCTGTCATTAATTTCAGTCTCTGACATTTTCAAACTATTGTAGAGACCTAATCATGCACAGGGCTTATCAGGGAGAAGCTGATGATTTATAACTCTGCATTCATTTTTAACCATACAATGCTAAGTAACGATGATGTTCACCTTTCAAACAAAATTATAGGCTTCCCTTTTATCTTAGAATGTACCAAACTTTCACATTTTGCGAGAGAATGTTTATTTACGTTTGATTTCAGTAATGCCTGGACAGTGGCAAACTTACTAGTAGTTACTTTTGTAATAAGTTACTTTGCCTGTGAAAACAGGACACCTAAGTATTAAATTATGACGTTTTTCTAAATGCAAGGAACATTTTCCAACTTCATGTATCACGTATATGAAACAGATACAAAAATGTTTCTCAACATAAGATTGCATAGTTGCATTTCTTGCTGTAAAAAAAATAATTGGTGTGCTTGAATTCCAAAACACTTAAAATTCTTTAAAAAATGACATTAATAAGTGTAGCTCAAGGACATTCTAAGAAGCCCTGTCCAGTTTACTTATCATCAATATAAAATGATGATTCAACTCTTCCACAAAAATTACCTGTTTCAAACATGCTGTCACCTCCTGTCTGTCACTTGGTCACACAAGACTGACTGACAATAGTGTCATCACGGCACGTCAGCTACTGGCTTAATCTAAATACATGCAGCCTGGCTCCAAAATGACAGAAATGATAGAACAAATTTGCTTTGTCTGGGAAACCATGAAGTCTTTTGTAGTCCATAGTCACAGAGTGCAAACAATCATAACAATCAAGGCACTGTATGGATCATAAGTCAGTGTACCATGATCATGTTTGACTAAAGGTGTTCTGGACAAGAAACTAAAAATATACCTGTGGTGACAACGCATCAGAGAAACGCTTTGGTCCTGTCGTTAGAGATCTAATAATGGAACAAAACGTAGTTTACACAAGTAGAGCTGCTCAAACAAGTTAATCTGGAAGTTTTGGACAGAAAAGATATGTTAAGACAAAAAGCCAGACAGCAAATACCCAGGACCAAAGGGTAATTCTTAAAAATACTTTGTATGTCTGGAAAGAAAAACATTGAAAAAACTTATAAGCTAAGTTATATAAACAGTCAAATGTTTTTTGAAGATGTAAAAACAATTTGACCAGAGGATATTATAGGCAAGGCTTTGCTGATTGGTTTAGACAGTGGTTGGCAGAGGATCACGACTGTGTAAAACTGGATGGGACTGTTTGAAAGTGGTTGGTGACTGGAGTTGGTTGGCCGAGGAAGGTTGCAGAATATCCAGGTTTGTCTGTAACTCCAGTTATGCATGAACATACTTAGTACTATTGCCTTGAAGAGGGTATACTAGATGGACTATTGGTAAATATTTGTCATCTATTTGTGTCTACAGAATTTTTGATACCCAAGTTTGAAAGTTTGTCTGTGTTCAAGCTGGTAGAATTCATTTTTTTTAAATGAAGTGTTGAGCAGTAGAAAAGTTGGGACCAATTCTTTGTGTTGACAACTTCATATCCGTCGATAAACAGGGGCAGTCACAACTTGCTTTGGTGCACAGTTTCCAGATTATCTATGATGATGTCATTGTTCAGCAAGTGGTCAAGCACCTAACACAAAAGCGCCATCTATTGGCAGAATTCAGTACTGCACCCTTACATTCACACATAAGTCAGTGGGGACACCTAGTGAGAGACACCTGCAACTGCACATAGACAGCACAAAACAAAAACCAACTGAATTGAATGTTTTAGTGCTTACTGGTATGGTACTCTTGTATCCTGATATAGAATGTTATCTAAAGACATATACAAGTCTATGGCATTAAACATTCAAGTCTAAACATTTTAATTTACCAAAACTTTGAATACCTAAGATATACTGTGTAGAAATATTGATACACAAATGTACATGTAATTTCACAAATTGGGCTGCTTGTATCATGTTAAGTAGAACACCTTTTTTTATGACATCCAATACAGAACATGCATATGATACCTTGAGTGGAGAACACCGGAGTGATACCTACTTGTAGATGATGTTGTCCTTCTCCTTGAGGATGGCGTCCTTGACCTTGACCAGAGCGTCCCACCGTCCCGGGTCATTGTTTAGACCGTTGTTGGATGAAGGGTACTGGGGTGAGGACTGGCCGGAGTAGACCTGGGGAACAGGTGCATGGCAATACATACTCTAAAGCTGATGGATGGCACCTAATTCATTTCATACATTTTTGACAAGTTTGCTTAAGTCATTGCAAGTTGGTGGGAAATGGAGGTGACTATGGTAGGGGATGGTGGTGAACATTTTTAAAGGCTTGTGAGTTTATTTGGGATGAGAACACTTGTCAGGGAGGGAGTTTATAAATCCGTCCGTGGAAAGAAGCTGACACAAATAGACTTACAGACTGGTGTAGTGTAGTATTATGTAAACCTGAAGAGAACCTAGTGGAATGCCAAAAAGCTCTTTCGTCTGAAAGAAGCTATTGCTGCAAAAAAGATTAGAAGGGCAGTGTACAGTAGTTATGTAAGCCAAAAGAGAACCTAGTGGAATGCCGAAAAGCTCTTTTGTCTGAGTCACTTGACTTGTGCTGACCTGTTGCTGTTGCAGCAGCTCCCTTTTCTGCTGTTCCAGGTGCTCCAGGTGCTGGTTCAGCTGCAGCTGCTGCACCTGCTGCCACTGGGTCAGGTCTGGCGCCTGCAAACAAAACAATTACACAAAGTTGCAAAAGCAGTCATCCTTGATGTTGTATCATTTCTTCAACACAACACAGCAATTTCGCTTGGACATATATGACAATGTACTAGCAAAGCTCAGTCGGATTTTCCAAGATGACATCTTTACTGTTATGCCTGACTGTCATTTTCAGCTTTGAATGAAGAGACTGACATACGTTTGCAATTTAAAGAAATGTCAAAAAGGATTCAATCAGGCCTAGCATACTGGTAAAAAAATCACAAAAATCTATTATTAACAACTCAACAAGCTTTGTCAGTTACATCAGTGGTTATACTGTCTTTCTTAAGCCCAAATCTACACTTGGTTGATTTTAGCTTTTTATAAAAAGGTCATGACCTTGGCAATAACCTTGTTTAAACTGACCTTGAAGCCTGGAACACCTGCCATGTTCTCCTGGGGGAGCCCATGCTGGGAGAAACCACCGGCTGGGTGCACGGGGGAGACATTGCTTTCCGGAGACAACTGCAACCCGCCCGGCTGCACGTACAGATTAGGCACCTGCAAGTTACTGCCAGAGTGATAGGGGGCGCTGTTGGGAATGTAAGACGAAGTAGCTTCCGGGTTGGGAGGGCTGCGGTCCCCTAAGGCATTGGGTAGGCTGAGGTAGCTGGTTCTAGCCGAGGTATTTGCACTAGGGAAGGCGTAACTACTGGGATCGTAGAGTCTTTGCTGTTGAGGGAAGGCCGGCATTGGTTGCTGCTGGTGGTTGCCATGGTAACTGACAGCCTGATTTGCATAGCTGGAGTGTTTTGATTGGTTAGGACCGGTGCTATGTGGTAGGTGGTTGTTGCTAAGATCTGCTGGTTGTTCGAAGCGTGACTTGTTGAAGGTTTGTTCCGCGGGAAGGACAGTAAAGTGGCTGGTCATGTTCATGGTGTGCTCCAGGTTGGGCATCTTGAAGTCCTTGCACGTCTCGTCAAAGTCAATCACGCGCTTGTCGTTGTTCTCCTTGGAATGTTTGCTCTCGGGAAGGTCTGCTACGACCTTCCCGCGGTGCTTTGCAAGGTCGGGTTCAGGAGAGCTGACATGATTGGTCCGTTTGTGAAGCGAGTCTCTGGGGTGGTGCTTGGGTTCAACCGGGGTTGTTGGAGTCACATGTGCAGTAGGGATGGTCTGGTGTGACGGGACTGTGGAAAAAGAAAAACAGTATCATTAGCAATCAGCAAACCTAGTGTTGTGTAAGCTATGATTTTGAAGCTGCAAACTTTTATGTAGGATTGCATTCTTCACATTAACTGTTCTCATGACATACTATAAACTCTTGTTACTTGCACAAACAGCAACAAGACAAAAAGCGCTAGCGCTCTTTCTGAAAATGTTATAGTATGATACCGGTTAACTACCTTTCTGGTACTTCAACCAATGCAGAGAGCATAAAAGTCCACAAGTAATGATCTTATTAGCCTCATTGTATCTTACAACATTGAACTTTCTTAATATTGATATGCCCACAGTATATAGAGTCCCACCTGTACAGAGTAGGTCCGACTCTGAGCCCAAATTAATACATTGTACAATAATAGACCAAGCCCTACCTATCACCAAAAAATCAGATATCCATACATAACTTTTTGAGTTACTCTCTCAATTAGCCTACAACCACAGGTATTCAACTATAGCCTTCTTGGCAGAGATACATGACTGTACACGTTGAAAAACTAAAAACCATGGAGGCAAGTACAAGTCTCAAAATGGTGACTTCATGTAACTGCAGAGTGATACCAGTCCTCAGGATATTTCAAACCATTTTCCCCATGCAAACATCCTATCATTGAAATGAAAACCAAGAATTCTGTAAAAAATGTACCTTCCAGTCCCTCGATTTTAGCACATTTTGGTGGTGACACCCCGCTGGTCCTTTCCTTGCTATCCGTGTGCTTATCAAGTTCACTCAGCTTCCTCCTACTGGGGGTTAGGTACCTCAGAGGGAACATCAGTCGCGACTGAATCACGTCACACATTCTCGCCGTGTTCGAAAACCCTCCTCCAGACATTTTTGAAACTTTTTCTGACAGAGAAATCCTCCAGAAATATCAACAAATCTTCCGTCCAGGACTAGAAATGGTGTGGAGTCGTGGACCAGAGGCGAACAAAGCGAAGTTATAACTAGTCCGGCACGAGCCAAACCTACTTGCTATCTAACGGTTCTTTCATGGAGTCCCTCTCATGAAAGACGTTGTCCACAAAAGGGTGATAAAGTGGTGCTTATTTGAACGGTGTCTTGTGTGATCGTGTTTGGCCAGCAGAAACAATAGGGTTAATGGTGTTTGACACTGAAAGGTCCCCCCACACATGTAAACAAAGCCGTCACCGAGCGTTAAGCACGGCTGTTACATGGTATGCGCGCTGTGATACTTTCATTCTGCAACTGTTGTTGCTCTCCTACAATGTTATAAGAGAAACAAAAACATGTTGAAGGCATTCTACTCCCAAGTATATTGGCAACGCAAACCATATAAAGGGCAAAAAAACAAAGTTGGCTCACAACTGACAAAAATATTTCAAAGGGCAACCGAGCACTTCTCTTCACTAAGAAGCAAAACTGTTGAAACAGCTGCTTTTCTTTATCCACAACAATCATTCTTACTTGTAACCTACAGAAAGGATTTGTCTTTTTCAAAATTTAGTCACTTGTTCTTTGGCCTAGACCTCAAAAAAGCACACCCAAGAAAATCCAGGTTTTGAATTCTGCTCACAAACCAACCAATGTGTCAATGAAGCTAATTTTTTTAAGAGGTTAAATCTTTGTTCTTTAAGTTAACTCTGGTTTGTTAGTAAGTCCACGCTTTCTTAAGCAATGTATGAGTTACTGAAATAGTTGTTCAAACAGGTATAAATAATCTCTGAATTTAAAACTGCAATAAAATGCCCTGTAAAGTTACCTGGACATTGATTGACTTGTTTGATATCAAACAAATGACATTTATAACCCTTATAATAACATTTGTGCCAATCACATAAAATCGTGCCCAACAACATCCTTTAGTGCCTAGCTGGGCTACATGTTGCTGTCATAAATTAAGAGTTTGGCCGTTAAGACTATAATTCATTACTTTCTTCCAATAAATGAGCAAATTCATTTTATGGCTGTACAGTTACAACGTACACTACAAGTATTGTAAAGTTATCTAAATACTGATTGGCCTTGTTTGCTGTCAAACAAAGCACCCTTGTAGCTTATAAAATGTCGTAGTGTTTGGGAAGCAAATTGTCTAACACCAAAATTTAGGGTATAGCCAGGCAATACATACATGTAATAAAAACAGCCAACAGGATATGGCCGTTAACATTGTATATCATGCTTTTTCCATGTTATCTGTATACATCAATTCCAACACTAACTTTTACTACACTGGATGTTTTTACATGTGTACTGGATGCATGGATACCACATGCCTGGATTGGAAGTAAGTGCATACTACATGTAGTACAATGTCCAAAACGTATTATAAGACTGGCTCCTTGCAGCCTTCCCTGCATCCTGTACATCTCTGAAACCTACATGTATTTATGTAGCCATATCATCTTTTACAGAAGTTATTTTTACATTAGTAAAAACCTACGGGCAGGCACAAAAATACAGGTGTGTGGTAAGGCATTGGGAAAGGTACAGTACAAGAAATATATGAGGGACTACCTATGCATTTACTGTCACGTTTAGTTGATCTTGCAAAATGATATAAAATCTGTTGTTGCACTAATGCTCCTACAAAAAAGTTAAGCTTATATTACCCCCTTCACTGCCCCTCCTCTCCCCTTCACTGACTCTGAATACCTGCCAAGTCCTGCTGCTTTAGAAACTCAAGCTGCTGTCCCAGTTTTCATGTTGTTAAAACAAACCTGAACAGTACTCAATACAGTCATGCACTTTAAAGGTCTACCCAACCATTGCATAATGAGGCATACGTATATTACTAATCACTTCGAAAAGATTTCAGTTGAAAAGCATCTCTCTACAGGTATAATATACATGTACATGTAATAGCGGATGGCACTTAACATGTACAGTACAAACATCCTGTAACAATTTGTGACATTTATGTGACAGTCAAAACAATACAGTGCCAATGCATGCATGAATAATAGACTGGGTACACTTTTTCCATCAAGGAAACAGTTACAACTGGTACAGTTTTACTCTTAGACTAATGTTCATTTGAAAATCAATCTTCATCAAATGATAAATGGTTGTTAATACCTTGGGAGATTGAAAAATGTTTTTCTCATTTCTCATATAACACACAGCAATAATATCTAAAGTTTTAACACTTGTCCCTGTAAGTGTAAGTTTTAACTTTAAGTTTCAAACCTTCTTGCACATTTCAAGGAATCATGGTGCAGAAAGCCTAATATATTTAACCTAGATATGATATTGCATCATATTTCTATAAAAAAATTAAGGCTCATACAAAACCAATTTTGGATCGCGGTCTAGTGGAAAGGGCCTCAAACACTTACCCGACCCGCCAGCCCTCTTTCACCACAGTCTCCTGCTTCCCAAACACTTCAGGAACAAAAGCCCCCGACCTGTTCCACCTGTGTGCCCACACCACAGCCACCCATTTACCCCCGCTTCACGCCTGTTTTCTCACAGCAGGAAAACATTTTATCACCTAAAAGCCACAAGCTTACAAAACAGTCACAACACAACTGGAGCCCGGTAAACAACTCCACGTATACACCTCGCCTTTCGAAATCGATCCCAGCCAATTAGACTACGAACATTTTCCTTCCCAGTACGATACGACTCACGTGTGACAAAGGATCCCGGGCAAACCCTTCAATAAGGACCCCAGAAGATGTAACCCGAGGCCTCAGAGTGTCAGCGTAGCTGCACAAGATACAGTCTGTCAATTCACAGGGTCACAGATGATACTGCAAAGCTCTATGACTACTGTGAAAGCCAGGCAAACTGACCGCACGGGTTCCCATACTTGTCGGGTTTGTTTACAGTAAACAAAATGGCCAAGAGCATCACCACCCTTGTCCCTCCCCTATAGCCACCTTTTCAAAACACGCCTAAAAACTAGAATAATAAAAATTTGAGTGACATGACTTGGGTACAGAGCTGCGGTGTTATTAAAGCTGTTATAGGTAGGAAACTCTGTGGCTACCATGGTACAGCTGGAGTGCCTGGTCAGTTTTTAATGACGGGAATCCGGTTTGTAAACAGAGTAGGGGGTAAAGAAAGCAAGGACAAGAAATCGAGTCCCTCCCCCACATTCTTAGTTCTGAGGTCTACCGTGAATAACGTGGAAAACTTCGCATCAGCCCTACTACACATACAGGCATGCATGTACATGTGCACTAATCTTGTTGTTTACATGTACTTCTTGCTGATCTGGTTTTCCAAAGAAAGTTATTTCATGAAAAGGAAGCAAACTGCTACATATTGTATAACATGTAAAACTTACCTACACATCCATTAAAAAATGTAAAATTAACAAATAACTGCTGCTTTCTAAAACCTGTACCTTACCTTGATCCAGATGAAAGCTTTTCAGTGTACAAAACTGCTATCAAAACCAATGACCTACAATTACTGCTATATAAAAAGCTACTGGGCAGACACTTTATCACTAAGGTTTATGTTTTAGACTGTTTAGTCTACACATCTATATCAACCGCCCATCCAAACCCTATGATTGGTTTGTATTTGTACCCACCATCCTCTGCTGCTGTTCTGGTGGTCCTGCTGGATGGATGTCTGTGTCGGCTGGTGCTGGGTTTAGTGGACACTGAGGGTGACGCCCAGTCAACATCCACATCTAGTCATACAGATAACAGTTATACAGAGATGGTGTGTTACACTGGAGGGCAGTTATACTGGCTATACAGATCTGTATCAGATTCTGTATCTGTATATAGCTGGTATAACCACCCTTCGGCGTAACATACAACCAACCAATCAATCCATTGATTAATCAATGAAATGGTTTATCAGCTGAAAAGTTTCTTTATCATTCCTATCATCTATGTCCCTCCAATTCAATTGTTTACAGCAATGAAATGAAAATTTGCTAACATGACTTTGCAACATGATACCTGGTTTCTTCATACAAGTACTTATGTAGTGATTCTTCTCCGATATCATTTTCAAAAGCCAAAGATACAGGAAAGATTGTTGCCATGGTTTAATTTTCAGTGGAAGCATTAAGACTGTTCACTCACCCTTTGCTCCTGACCTGGGCAATTCTACAAAGTCATTATGGACTGTTTGGTAATCTGAAACAAAACATGACGTTACTGTCATGGTGGATATGACATTTTGATTATTCATGTAAATAAAAACTGTTTCAATGCACTACACGTGACCCAGGACATAGATATTCAAGCAATAAATCCAACACTTATGTCTATGAAAATCTTATACTGAATACCAGGTACTAACTAATATTAATCTACAAACATTCATCTACTAAGATTTTGTTTGGTAATAAAACTGACAGCTATGTTTTATTTCTGCAAGTGACACTCCATCAACCATGGTCAGCAAATCATCTTCACCTGGTTAAGGATACCGGTACTCCTGGTCTGGAGGCAGTAGAGCTACATGCCACACCACAAGTTCAGGTAGGCAATGTAGGAACAATCAGGATCAGTCTATATCTACTTAAAATTGCAAATCTGACTATATTGTGTTAAAACATGGCTTATACGGGAGGTCTGAGCCTCTCGAAGCTTAAGGTCAAGTGAAAGTACAGAAAAATAGAACCAACCTGGCACATTGGTCTGCTGTAGGTTGCCATGGTTACCACTGTGCATGCTGGGAAAACTAAGGCAGGTGTGTGTCAGCACAGGGGGTCAAAGGTCACTTTGAAGTACAGTCTGAGTCCTGAAAAAAAGCAAGAGACTGTCACTTCTTCAACAAATTATCAGTTGACAGCATTGTTTGGACAGGCTTAATTCTTTTCAATCTTATCACAAAAAAATCAATATTATCACATAAAAGTATAACTTTCTAAAGACTACAAAACACACAAAACAGGAAAAAAATATTCTTAAATTTATTAAATTCATACAGTGAACTGACAAATACTTGACCGCTCAGTGTGATTTTAGCCGCTAGTGGAAACTTGAAAGGGGGTGTGAAATAAAGATATGGCTGTCAATGTTAGTTGATGGGAGGCTGTTGAAAGATGCCCCCCCACCCCCCCACAAAGAACCGGACACATGATGCTGGTGATACCTACTCTGGGGATACCATTAGCATCAACTGTTCCTCAGGACAGGAACTTCAGGAAGTCTTCAAATAGGTCACGCTGATGACAAGTGTGTGTGTGTGTGTGGGGGGGGGGTTCAGATACTAGACAATGCTAGAAATATAAGTATATACTATACTATAAAGTAAAATAAACATACAGCAGAGAAAAAATGTTGTTCATAAATCAGTATATACTACTATTACTAGTAGCAGACAGGCAGGCTTGGAAGTCATGTGAAGACATGTCAGATCATGTGAGGTGAGGTGATATTGACTGGCCTGGTCAAGTCAACACCTGACACAAACACTCTCACACTGCTGTCATATCATGTTAGCTGAAATATCTGCTAAGTCAAGGACATTATATCTCTATATAATGTCCTTGCTGAGGTTGAACACATCATCAGACTCTTCTTCATCACTTGTTTTAAAATATCAAAATAAGACCTAGTTTTTTTTTGCAAAGTTGTACTTGTAGAAACCTGGGATCTATGAGACTTTGACCCTGCCTAGATTTTGTTCAATCAATGTTTACCTCACAAAGGTCATGCACGCAAATGAGCCAAACAGGTGAATTGTACTGACAGTAATCATACACTATCCATGGCAGACAAACAACAACAATTGCAATCTTATATAGAATTTGCTATAGTAGCCTTGAAGCCAAATCCTAGAATTTTGTACTTGTATTGAAGCTTGTATTTGTAACAACAAAACTTGTCTTACCTGTGGAGAAACTGATACAAAATATTACTAGTACTCACACTCAGTGAGAAAGACATTTCTTCATGTCTACTTTACTTCACATTCCTGAGACAATACAGGTGTTCACACCCAAATAGGGTACAGAAGAAGTTGTGGTCAATCGGAAGATCTTGTTTCCAAAATAACTTAGGGAAAGGAAATGAGGGTGGCACAGTTTCCACCAATGACTCACTTCCCTGACACAAGGTAATCTTAAGTTCCAACTAAAACATTTTCAAAACCTTTGTACGACCTACCTCTTTTCATATGGCCACTTTGATACTAAAGCTTTTCATCTAGCATCACTTCAAGTTTAAAAGATTGACTTAAAGTACTAGGACATGAGGGCTCAAAAGAAATCTGTCTTCAAGTTCAAATTCCCATTTTTTTATGAGTACCGTTAATGAGAAAAGCTGTATGGAGAGTGAAACAACAGAAGTCGTTGCTCAATTTCTTTGTCATAAACTTGCCGTCAACCGTGCCACTTTCACAAAACACGCTTTATGCGTCCTCTCACAAGTCTGTCTATAGCTGCCCAATCTTATTCACTGCATTGGCAGATCAGCTGTCAGACTATTAAGCACAGGTTTTTTACCATGAATATGTAGTCGTGCCTCCTTGAAAAGCTTGTACAGTACATGTAATGTGATCATCCCTTACAAATCCTTCTACAGGCTTAACTGCCAAAATCTAATTCAGTGCCTTGGCAGATTGGCTGTGTAACTATTTACTGTACTTCCAATGATAAAACAGGAGGCCTGTATGACAACATGAGACAATTGGCATGTGTTCTGGATTGGTAAGGAAGAACCTGAAGAGAAAAACAAACTTATTTGGGATGTCTGCTTGGTGTTGACCTCGCCGTTGATAGGTAAACAAGAAGATCAGTATTCAACACAGCTGTAACCTACACCGTGTTACAAAGGACCAAATAACGAGGCTACGTTAACGATTCTCATCAAGCAAAGATTTGTCACACCTGCACTGGATAAAATGGGCACTGGACAAAGGACGCTAGAAAGAATGTCACGGTCAGCCCCCGACAAATTTGAGAAAGAAACCAAAGTTAAACAAACAAACATTGTCATTACAAAGGAAGACAGGAACAGAAGCATTTATACAACATCTACAACAATTGTAAGAATGCTGCAGATCATAATTGCAAAATAAACATCACAAGTTGCACTAAGAGTTTGACAGTGAAAATAGCCACCAAATGGGCATTATTGTAAGATTACCAAGCAAGACTTACTACTAGTATATATGCAACACTTCTTTTTCAAAGCTCTACAACCTGGGACCGCTTTGCGGCAGCAAAGTCCAGGCAGCTGGTAATTATTGTGATATGGCAAGTGACGATTCTTTCCATCATGACAAGCTTTATGTTTGATTCTCAAACTAACTTCTGCCGCTTCTTGTACATTTTGTTCCAGTCTTGAGTTGTTTTGAATCTGTCTTCGCCCCCCTCCCACCGATAATTTCAGTACGCCTTTTCACAACTTCTGTACAGAGATTTTGATGCAAATATGGAGTCTATAAAGAAACTGGTATCAAAATTTATGTCCTCGACGTACAATTCTGCATCCCAGAGGAAGAAAACCATTCGCTTCGAAATTTTAATTTATCATCAAAATATGCCATATTTTATAGCACAGCATGCCGGTCTTTCGCAAGAAGGATAGTTCTCAGCAAACAAAGGCACACGGCTATCCTACAGCCTAAACAGCAAATAAAAGCAGCCCCTAACACCCTGTTGGCTTGGTAACTTACCAGACTGCACGACGGTGTAGAAAATGTTCAGAAATGGCGCCAAAAGCCGCGGCAAATCGTGTCTTCCCGTAAAGGTTTCCCCGCTGAAGTCGGATCTTATCGCGGTTCGAAAAACAGAGCCAGCCAGGAAGTGATGACGTCAAGACCGGAATCTGCCATTTGATTTCGAGGGGCGACAAGGCGAAATTTATTTTACCAACAAGAAGGGCACATAATGGCAAACTTGTTGCCTCTACCAGGCACCGCGGATCGCTGGAAAAACAGTAGAAATTGGCCAAAAAAGGGTCGCAAAATGTACCCACTCTGGCCGGCTACCCCCCCCCCGTATACTATTCCCTTTATTTTGGCCATGGCAATTTCTAGTTCTACTTTACTATTTGATTGGTAGATTCTATAACGTTAGATGCTAGCATGAAGTTAAACCTCCATGATGCTAGCAGACCTGTTCTCCCGGAATGTCCAATCATCTGAAATGCATGCTTTTTACGTTGGTAAATTTGATGTTTTTTTGTGATATAAATATTCACTAAGGATAGCACTAGGCTTCTTTTCAAGGAAAACAGAACAGGTATGTGCCCTGGTGGTGTTGGCGGTTCGATTCCGTCAGGCTTTTACACCAGACTGAAGAGCCTACCTGGCGGGACACTATCGGGGTGCATGTACCTGTTTTGGCCTGTTGTTCAGTTTCTAACTAAAACAAAGAATGTTTAAGATGGAATACGAATACATATGTTAGATGGTGGCTATATAGTGGCAGTCAACAGCCTTTTGGTCCCAAAGATACTCTCGCTACACCAGACTTATTTGCAGGCTAACTAAGTAAATAGTAGAAATCGGCCTAAAAAGGATTTTAATTGACCAAAGAAGTTGGCCGACCAGAGAGGATCCAATCAGTACTTCCAAGGACATTACATAGAACTTCTATATTATATGAATAAGATGTAAGCGACCTTGCTGTCCGTACCTAGACGTGCAATGCGCATACATTCTTTACTTTATTTGTGGACGTCTTTCCTAATATATAGTGGCAACCAACAGCCTCTGTTCCCAAAGGTACTTAGTACTTCCAAGGACATATACATTTTCTTTGTACTTCACATGGACACTACATGGAACTTCGAAAAAGCTCACTGTCCGTATCTGGACCTGCAATGCTCACGTATTCTTTGCTTTACTTGTGGGCGTCGCTGCTAGTGGCAACCAACAGCCTCTCTTCCCAAAGATACTTAGTACTTCCAATGACATTATAGATTTTCTTCGTACTTCCAAAGACATTACATGGACACTACATAGAACTTCGAAGAACCTCATTGTCCGTGCCTGGACCCACGATGCTCACATATTCTTTGATTATTTGTGGGCGTCGGTGCTAGTGGCAACCAACAGCCTCTGTTCCCAAAGATTATGCATCCGAAATCCCTGGATGGCGATTCCGCCCAGGCGCCGCAAAGCAGCCTGAGTACCAATGACGGTAAATGCCCTTTTTACCGATTGCTCGACCAATCACCGGCCGGCCGAAATCCCAAAACATTTCGTTTGTGGTTATTTAATACTATAAAATGTTTCTTTTCATAAATGTCGACAAAAAGTTTCAATATTCTTTCAAAAATGCTAAGATTGTAATACATTATTGCTTGCAATTTACGGTTAGTGTCTTTAATATACTTTTAGTGGCATTATTAATGCGTGAAACAAAATGACATAAATTATGTTAATGAACCTTTAGTAAAGTAGATCTCTGGAAAGCGACCTCTAGCGGTTATAGAATGAACAGCAGTTATAAAGGTGTCCGGTAACGAAGGCGTGAACAAAATGTCATAAATTATGTTAATGAGGACTTTAGCGACGGCGGCCTTCAGAAAGCGACCTCTAGCGGTTGTGGAACGCTCAGCAGTTGAACAGGTGTCTGTGGTAACGAACATAAAATGCCTCTGCTTGTGCTTTAGAGATAGATCAGGGAGAGAGATAGGGGAAAGACTGGTTACTTTATTGGGACAAACACTGCCTAATATGATATTGATGAGGTAAAACATTTATTAACTAAAGTGGACAGGTGGTTTTGATGAAAAGGGGACCAAAGCGTTATGCTGTGAGATCTGTACTCTCTATCTTCAGATCGCCTTGGTCTTGGAGACAAGACCTGGGGAAAGAAAGATATTTCCTTCTTCAATTTTTGTTTACCAAATGTCCAACACAATGCATTATTTGAATAGACACCCCTACTGATAAACAAAAGGAGCAAAATAAAAACGTATAACATTTATACGAATCTTATTTATTCACAAATTCATATTCATCACATGCATCACATGCAAAATTCGGGACGTGACACAAAAAAAAGCAAGAATTTCTCTCATAAGAGATTTGGCCTCTTTCACTTCAAACGGAAGTGACGTCATATGGCTTTGACCAGAGAACGTTGACACATATGGCTAAACTAGCCTCTACCAGGCTTCAGAGGCGGCTGAAAAGATAAGAAATTGGTAGAGCGGCAAACTTCAATATCTGTTAGCGGACCGACTCCGCTGGCAAAATTTGACCAATTTCTACTCTTTCCAGCCGCTTCTGAAGCCTGGTAGAGGCTATGGCTAAACAACACATTGTTTCAGTTGAAAAACTGAAAAGTTTCTACTATGCTTTTTTTACGTACATGGACATTTAAGCAGCAATAACACATATTTTCGTAAGACGATTGTACATTGTAGCAGCATGTCTGTGAATATTGGGCTATTCCATAAAGCACTTGCAGGGGCCGAGGTTCCGACATGACTGCTCAAGTGCGCCTCTACCGGACAAATAGTGTACTGCATAAACGAACAGGTGGTTTTTGCTCTAAAGGAACTCCTCATCTACGCCAATATTAGAGTATCTATTTCTTCAGTGAAAGTTCTGTCACGTGTCTTAGTAGTAGTGACGTGTTTTCTTAATATGATAAAGGGTGATTTTGATACTATGGAACTTCTTTTTTTCCCCTTCCTTCAATGAATTGGCCAATGCAATACAGTCTTTCTCATCCCCTGATGCTTTTAATGGAATAGCCCTAAGTGCACATCATTTATGTACATGTATGTATATTGTCCTAATGATATATTTATGAATGGTTTCCACGTATGTTTTAGCGTCCGAAGGAACAGGACACTTTTTAAAATCACTATATGTAGAATAATTTCCACGTTGTTGATGATGTGTTTCAACTTGTCGACTACTTAGATGTTTTTGTAGGAACCGGCTTCCCTCCTCCTCCGGATGGTCTCAGGAAAGTGTTTCTCCTCATGGGGTTGGGTTTGGGTTGTGTCTGAGCTGCGTAGCCGCCGTAGCCGCCGGGCCCGGGCATGCTAGCCGCCGCGGGACCTGCCATGCTAGCCGGCGGGCGGGATATCGTCGGTCCGCTGGCGGCAGCCGGGGCAGAGGCGGGTGCTGAGGACGCTGCGGCCGCCGACATCGGGCTAGAAGCCGGCATGCCCGCCGGCATCATGTACGGGTTGGTGATCTTCGACTTCGGCGCCTCTGCGTACGCCGGCGGAGGTTGAGTGCGAAACGACACCGAAGACGACATCGTCTTGTTGTTGGACCACGCCGCTTTGGGCGTGTTCGGGTGCGCAGTTGGCGGTCTGTTGGATGGTTTGAAGGGCGGCGCTGTCTTTGGTTTCGGCGGAGGCGGTTTGGCAGCGGGTTCTTTGGCAGGTTTAGCCTCCTCAGGCTGCGTGCTTTGCTTCATCCTCTTGGTCCTCTCTTCCTCCATCTTTTTCTCGTAGTACCGAAGTTTCCGCTTCACCAGTTCGTAGTCGCGTCGTTCCTTCTCCTTCTCCTGCTCCGTCTGACGCCGCATGTCTTCCGACTGCTTCAGCTGCTCCTGCAGGTCCTCAATGTCAAGGTGAGCCTGCTCAAGGTCACGCTCTAACTCCTCCTTCTCCTCGTCCACGCTGTCCTCGTCGTTCTCGTCTGGGTTGTCCGTCTGGAAGGGAAGAGGAGAAACTGTGTGAAGTTCATTGTCAACATAGAAACAGAAAGTAGACCAACTCAGCCTTGATGCTAGTGGTAGTTACCTCCGGGGAAGGAGATATCCTTCCGCGAGGAGGTTTTACTATGGTTCGAAACATTTCTGTCAGCAGCTGTTTCTCGCGATCGGCTGGACGGATTTGTCTGTGGTTCGGTATACGTATTGCTATTGGGCTGCAGATGATGCAGAACGTTTTTGTTTAATTGCATATGTGTTTATGGGCGTCGAAATAAAAGGTTTTTAAGTGCTCCGGACACCCCCGCCATGCTGAAAATGGTAATTACCATGTTGTTAAGGAATGGGGCGGTTGCAGTTTTCGGTCTTAGCATTCAAAAGGGGTCAAACAGAGGGGTGTCTGGTTCCGATAAAAATTTTGGGTGACGGCGCAGCAATGACGGCGCGGGATGACGGCGGGGGTAATGGCGCGGGTGACGGTGCAGGCTGTCAGACACGTTAATCAACAGTCCATACCGAACCAACCGTCAGTAGCCATCAAACACATACAAACATATTACGCACATAACTTTCATACTACACACAAACAAATAACCTAAACCAATAGAACACAAAAAAACCCGGAGGTTTGAAATCTACGATTTCCCTTGTTCTATATGCACTTCCCAATAAAAACGCTAGATGGCTGTGTTTGTATCAGGAGTCTCGCAACAATATCTACTGATAACTAGCATTAGCTTACTTACAATCAAAAACAGTAAATTAGTAGAAATCATGAATTTTGAATAAACGATTACTAGTATGCCAAGAAACCCAAGAACAGAAAATGGTGGAATAGGACACCATTGTCTCATAACTTCACTAGACCACCCCAAACAATGGAGAAACCCAATGTTTATAAACAACAGGTGAGAGCGTGGTTGGTACACGTTACTGTAAGAATAACAACGGAGACCAGGGTTGAAAGTGTGGGGAGATTTTGCGTGCCTGTGTTTTGGGGAAGGAGGGCGAAACCGTAAAAAGATTCCAAAATTCCAAGTTGTTCTAAAATTGTCCTACATTTTCACATGAAGATATAACAAGAATGAAACTGTCAGAGAGGACAGAAGACGAGAGAGTAAACATCTCTCAAACACTATACGGAAATAGACCATCCTTCCGCGGAGGTCTCTACATTATTTGGTAGAATAACAAAGTTAATGGCAAGAGTCTGGGGGGTCAAGTGATGTCATGACGACTGGTCTAAAATAGAAACTATTCTGACAGATTCGTTAGCAAGTAAGTTGTAGTCTCGCCAGCCAATACACGGAATATTATTTTAAAACTAATATTCTTGGTTAGACTTACCTTATTTAGATAGAATAATGAGCCGGATTTGAATAATATAAGATGCATAAAATATTTCAAACTCACAAATAGAAAGGACAGGCCATATTGTCAGTCTTTGCCCTGTTGATATGGAAAACATTTGCAATCAAAAGAAAAATGGGGAAGGGAAAGAAATATTGGAACAAACATTACCTGGACTTCCTTGTTCCTTGTATCCCGTTCTTTCTTCAAGGAAGCGATCCGCGATTTCAGTTTCTTAGTGTCATCCTTCAAGTCTTCAATCGCCTTCTTATCTTTGTCTATTTTCGCGTCTGCCTTGGCTAGCTCTTTCTTGGAGGCGTCGTAATACTTGGTGAGTTTCTTAACCAGCTCCTCAAGTTCTTTGGCACGATCCTTGGCTTTGTCCGCTGCAGCTCGGCTAGAGTCACTCTGCTCGATTTTCTTGTCTAGTACGGAGAGAGCGCGGTCTCGCGCCTTCTCAGCCTTGTCTCTCTCTATTCTCAGTTTCTCGCGTTCTTTCATGGCCTGCCTCATCTTGAGCTGAGCATGTGCAACTGCGATATCTCTGAGTTCACACTCCAAGTCTTGATCTGTCTGCGTTCGCGCGTCCTTCCGTCGAATCGTGCGATCTCTCTGCGCCTTCAAGTCTACGATTATCTTCTCAAGCTTCTTAATCTCCTTCTTGAGCTGAGTCATTGTCCGTTCGTCCTTTTGTACCATAGATTCCACCTTAGACTTTTCCTTCTTAGCGGACTCGTACCTCTGTTCTATCTCTCTCTTTGTTTCTCTGAGTTCTGAATTCTTCTCCTTCGCTCTGAATTCCTCCAACGCGAGCCTGTCCTTTTCCTTCCCCACCGTTTCTCTTTCCCTGATGATTTTCCTGTAGTCCTCCCGGTACATGTCTCTTTCTTGTGTCAGCTTGGCGACCTGTTCCTTAAATTTATCTCTGTCTTTCGACAGACCCTTGACATTCTCCTTAAAGCGTGAAATCTCAGTGTTAAGTTTTCCCGTCTCCTCCTTGAAACCATCTCTTTCCACCAAGAGCTTCTCGCTTTCCTCCTTAAACTCGTCTCTTTCTTTCGTCAACTTCTCAGATTCTGTTTTAAACTTGTTCCTGTCTTCTTCCAGTACTTTGACTTGTGAGCTGTATTTCTCCACCTCTCCCGCGAGTCGGATGCCATCCTCCTTGTACTTATCCTTCTCTTCCGCCAGGCGGATGGATTCCTCCTTAAACCGGTCTCTGTCCTTCGTCAACTCTTCTGTTTGCTCTTTGTATTTGTCTCTCTCCTTGGTCATTTTGCTCCCTTCCTCTCGATACTTGTTCCTCTCTTCCTCCAGGGTGTCTCTCGTCTCCTTCAACTCGTCTATCTCACTCCCGAGGGCGATTCCCTGCAGTTCATACTTATCTCTCTCGGTGGTCAGTTTCTCAGATTCCTTCTTAAAGACTTCAATTTCCTTACTCAGATCGGTACACTCGCGCTTGAACTTTTCCTTCTCTTCAGTCAAGGTGCCGTAGACCTGGTGGAATTTCTCCACTTCCTCCAGCAGCTTCCTTATGTAGCTGTCCGTCTTCTCAGACAGTTGTAAGGACAACTCGATGTACTTGCCGCTGGTGGAGGTCACCAGCTGAGTTCTCGAAATAAACCTGTCCTTCTTCTCGTTCAAAATCTTAGAGTACTCGAAGTACGAGTCTCGTTCCTCCTCGAATTGCTTCTTTTCCGCCAAGGCCTGGTAGTACTCTTGTCTGAGACGCTCATTTTCCCTCTCGGACTCCTTAAGATCCTTGTAGGAAGCCTCCAACTCTTCAGCGCTCTCCCTGGAGTCTTGGTAGAGTTGCATGAGGTGTTTCTCACTGGACTTAATCTCGTTATACATCTTATTGTTGTTCGCCAAGACCTGGCGGGTTTGTTTGATTATTTGGTCCGTGGCCGCCATCCTCATCACCATGGGAGTTGCCATGAATACAATTCGTTTTTCTACATCCCACAAAGGCTGGAAATTACTGGGCGGCGCCCGGGAAGATTAGCTCGGCGTGAGCATTGTCCGTCAGGCCCGGCTCTTTCTCACGGGGGAGCCTCGCGAGCGTTGTCCCACTGAATGGTTTCGTGTTGCGACTTCCGACGGGCTAAATAGCACGGACTAACCTGATTTACCTCGGCATTCACAGAGCCGTGTATGTGTACAGTTCAACACGACAAACCTCCCGGGGGTAAGAACCAGTGTCTTGAGTCGCTGGGCACGTCTTCAAGCGTGTCTTGCTAGATCACTGTCAAGGTCACAGCAGAGGTCATTTCTTCCAGCTGACGTTTAGTTTTGCGTTGTTGCGGTTAAAATTTTTGTGGTAGTGAAACTCGCACTGTGAGTCACTCGCCAGGGTTAATCCTATCCAATAAGGGGGCCGGATGCTTGGTTGCTATGGATACAGAGATAAGCGTTTTTTCCACGCTAATCACGGTGAAATCTCACTACAATTACTTCTCCAGGCCGTCCTGTGTCCAACCCTTTCAGCCTTCTGTCTGTCTGGACTTTGAAAAGATCGAAAATCTGCCGGATCGAAGTCGAGTCACGCGCTGACGTCATCACATGACCCCAACCACCTGTTGTACTGGCAGATGTCCCCCGTCTCGGTTTGTTTGTTTGTTTGTTTGTTTACCTCAAGCCCTGGGTAAACAACACCTTTGTCCCGCGCTGAGAGTCCGCCCGTTACGCCTGTTGGGTGTAAAAAGATTGGCAAAAGTTTAGTCCTTCAGTATGTCAAAAGCTTTTGCAGAGCTTAAAATGCTTTTTTTCTACATACCTGCTCTGGTATCGATGAAAATTACCTACACCAGACAAATTTTACCTGCACCACTCTATATTTAAGGAAATATAGATTATACTTAAAGTGTTCAGAAACCGTTGCCATTATCTATTTCATGCTTCAAATGTGGTAACAGTCAACACTTAAAAAAATCATATCATCAAATAAATCAAAACATATATAACCCAGTACAGGTTTGGTACAGGTAGACATCAGAATCGAAATATACCAGCTGTAGAGTTCAAATTTATCTGCACCAGCCTACAAATATTAAGGTGGAATTTCGAACCCTGCCTTGGAATGTCAAAAATGATACGAACGGCTTTACACAACATGGATTGGTGCGGCTGTATAAAGATCTTAAAAGGTCAGAATTAATAGCTGGAAATGCACTAATTTAAAAGCTAACAACTTTCCAAAGGTGTTGTTTGTTTTTATATTTCGCAGGAACTGATATCAAATTTCCTAACAGGAAATGCACTCTAAACCACTAGGTGGTCCAAAAAGTTACCCCGTGAATAGCTAACATTATTCTATTAGTTGAATACGCTTGATATTGTTATACAAAACTTATAATCACATCAATAGGACAGAATGAGAATCTTACTCATACGAACTGTTTATAAAAAGTACCCAAAACAAGTTGTTAAGTTCGTGGGAATTTTCTAATTTCACGGCTATCAGGCACGGAATGTCGCAAACATAAACAGGCTGAAGGCCGTGCGGAGGTGTGCGACACACAGGGTAGTGGTTAGGCAACATGGAGGGACGTTTGGATAGTGTAACTCAGGAGGTCTTCAAATATTTACATCGGGGTGGTCCGATCAAATGTCACAGGGAAGGGAAATACGCGTTTTCTTAGATCTATGTTTCACAACGTGTATCTATTTCTAGTGAATTTTACCATGAAGCAATTAACACTTAATGATTTGTATGAGAAAAGTTGAACCCAAGAAACAGTGAAAGAATTGCTGAGTTGTGGGTAACAGGGTGATAATTAGGTTAAACAAGAGTTCCACGATCTCATACCTTCGCCAGATGATCTAAATTATGTTAACCTTTAGGACTGGCGAATTGTAAATGTGTGTCATTATGCCAATAAGATCATCATTTGGATGAAGTAAATTAGTTGATGAAATCCACCTAATAAATGGCATAAACTTACACTGAAAGTGTCTTTTGTCAGTACTTATGGTTCATCTGATCCCTGTAAATTACGATACATCACAATCAGGATTCTTCTCGTTTTACGAGCAACTGAGACAAACCCTGGAGGCTAGGCGAAACGTGTGATCGCTTGAAGATTAAAACTAAACATGAATCTATAACTGTAAATACTTCATCTGGCTGTTGCATGGATCGTCCTCCTCCTTAACCATGTTGTAAAAGTTTCGTATTGCGAGGCAAAAATTATTCCTAAGTGTCTACTTATCACACATTACCTTCTACATGTACTTTATACAAACAAACAATAGAAATACCATAAAGAGACGAAAAAATACGTCACTTATACCAATCGATAATGAAATATACTTGTCATAACGATTCAGAAAACTATGGGTTTCAGAACACCATTGAGAGACGTTAACACACCGGATAAGTCAACCTTACCGAAATCAAGAAGCGCGATCTTTAACGTGACTAAACCGTGGCATTGAGAAACACATGTCCTACCTGTGCCCACCTGCGTGAACACACACCTGAGGTATTGTGCGGACAGGTATCTGGTTACCTGGCCGTAACCACAGCAAAACCCACCTGGTCTTTCACATCATGGCGGCCTCCAACCTAGTCTCTACCAGACTACCAACGTGGGTTCAAAAACAGTACGATTTCGCTAAATATGGAGACTTATTAGCCAGGGGTGTTAAGCCACTGTAGAAACTCTCCCGGCCAATTATTTCCTTTTTTTTCCCACATTCTACGATCCATACCCCGTAGGAAGGCCTGGTGGAGGCTACCTCGAACCCACGATATAGTAGGGTGTATGTGTGTATGTATGTGTATGTCGGGGAGGGAGTACTAGTCATTTTCCTATATATATACTTATCGATTCTTTTCAACGTAAAAAAAACTGCTCATACAAGTTTATCAAACTAATACACCAGTTAATTCAAACAGGCGGTGAGATAGAAATCACCAGTACGGATTTGCATATTCAACTAGTGATCAAATCCTTAATTGTCCGTACAAGTACAACACATGGTAGGAATGGGTAGGGTAGACCTTTCTACATAAACGTTAACGTTTTCTAAACTCAGGTGTAATTTTAGGCTGTCAAACATCGACTCAATGCAATCCCTCAGAGTACTAATGAAAATGAATGATAAGGACTGCTCCACACCTCTCACAATTCCTTGACTGTATGATCTAGAACTAAGCAACAAATCCTGTGACTCAACAACCAGCTGACAAGTTATTTTTCTACCCGAGTGATCTCTGTGGTAGCAAAACATTCGCCATAACTTAAACAAAGCACGGCGATAGTCTGTAAAGACATTTGGCTTCAACAAAGTATCCATTAACACCCTGATGTTTACAATTGCCCAATTATGGCGGCTTTTCTGACCATGCCTAATTGAGCAATTATATACAATACTACACAGGTGTAAGGCTGCTTAGAAGCCATTTTAGTTCTGTTCAAACAAACACTTGGTTGTCTGTTCGCAAAGTTTGCTTCCACACTCCAGAATGCTACGATTTTACAAACGTGTTGCAGTCGTTATCCATTGTGAAGAGTCCATTACATGACTGAATAGAGTGGCCCCCTTTTTGTGCCGTTTCTACGATACCTCACGACGGCTGTGTGTCAACAGATATGACCACTACCTTTTTTTCTATCGTACAACAGAAATGGGAAGAAGTAGAAAAGCAGTCTTCCTGAATACGACAGTCTCAATTAACACGCCGATGCCTCAAACTTCGTCAATTAGCGCCAGCATGTTGACACGCTAGACAATATAGTACGTATAATTAGTTACGATGTGTGTGTCAGACACACAATGCGAGGAACGAATTCGAAACGCCCCCCTCCCACCTCCTTACCTGTACTCCTGAGCATCTCTAAGCGTTGATACGGCTTCAGGTCATTTTGGGCATCACGGTCAGACTCTCTTTATACAAATAAAACCCAAACGATTCAACTGCTTTAAGCACAGTATAGGAATGGTAGGATAAGTCTTTTTTCGCCCCGGGCAATTCAACAGTTTCACCGGGTAAGGGTTACCTGAGACCACCCATGCGTATCTGTCTCTAGGTAGACAATACAGGTGAATTTAACACATGTGATGACACCACGAAGATACTGTCTATATGTAAACCATATGGAAACCATACCAAAATACCATTCAGGCAAATTATTGTCATTAGAGTTATGTCAAAGTACATGTATAGTCGTTTATATATATTTATATGTCTATCCGTTGTCGCCTTTTATAGTGCAGCTTAAGGATGAAAATAAAATAAGCCAACTTACTTATAACATTCGTTATCACTATGTGACTAAAACGGTGAACACCACAGTTAGGAATATTATTGCTAACATTTCTATAATTTGGTCCTCGTCATATGATAGTAGAAAGTACCATACCAAGGTAATCAAAACGGACAGGGTACTCAAATTTAATCATCGACCATGAACTTTTAGAAAGATCTTAGTATTTGCCTAAATATTCATTTACTTATCATGGAATTCATCACATCGTTATTTTTTGTGTTAACATCTTAATTTTTACTGTAGGTGATTTATTCTATGTTATTGAAGTGTTGTACTTGAAGTTTTGTCTTGAGTAGCTGCTTCTGCTAACATCATCTGCACCTGTTTATCTAACCCCCCTCCCCCATGTCCTTGACATTCTAACAATGGTCCAACATCGTCAGTGGTAGCGAGAGGTCCTGGTTCGATTCCCAATCCCTGTGACTTTCGATAACATGTCAACCACTCCTTGCTTTGTATTTTCTGTTTTCCCTAAAAAAAGTCATCAGTTGTTGTTCAACCCAAACCCGTTTTCCTCTACACGTTTATTGTACATTGATGCCAAACAGAATGAAGTACAAGAGGACATCATTCATATGAAATACATACAGATATACTTAATGTAAATTGATTGATATATCAACTCGATATATATCCTTTTTTTTAATTTACAAACCCAAAATTTGCCCGAATAAAAACATGACCATCGGTGATGCCTTTTGCAATATGTATTGAGTACTGCTGGATTGTCAATATCAAAATTCCGTTAAAAGTTTGTCCTGTTGATACGATTTCTGACGTATAGTACCAGGGAATTTTAAAGGAAAAAAGTCGAGTAAATGTTTAACTGTACTGGCCAACACAACTAATCACTATAACAGCTAATTATCTGACGTCATTGAACAAAATGAGAAAATAGTCAGGCGTCTTTTGTGTTATGAACTGACTCAATACACAAAATACTTCCGTGGTCCGGCAGTAATGAGGCGTACAAGTCAACTGGCCTTAAGCCTCAACGTTTAAATAACAGCTGTTTGGATACGAACAATGAAGACGTATACAGGGTAAAACTACCCTGTAAAGACGTTTTAATGACTCTAAATGATTCAAGTTACTGTTCTGCAGTGTTACTAGCTGTCAACTTACTGTTACGTTCTATGCAAGGCAACAAGTTATAATACTGTTTTGATCCTCCAGTATTACTCGTATATAGACTGCGTTAGAGAGAGGTTAAACTTGCAGTTTTTCAAACCAGTCCGATGAAGATTTATATATAGACGTATTTTATACAATCTTGAAGTAAAACCTGGTTTTATAGAGACAACATTGGGAACTAGTACTGTTCCTAGGGACTGTTTTGACTGGGACAATTTATCGTCATAAAACGTCACCTACCTTAAGTGACAATCTGAATGAAGGAACACGTTAACAC